TCCAGGAAACCCAATGGCACGAAAAGATAAGATGGGAGAAGCATAGTTATGCTTAACTATTACTTGAGCATAGAATACTTGTGGAAGTGAAGTGATAAAGTTAACTTCCTCGCACACTCACACATTAATAAAAATTCATTATAGTAGGATAATTCGTATCGAGTGCTATATTATTAAATGACTTTATTACAAACTTTAGTTAATGTTTTGAAATAATTATTTTTTACTGCTGACATCTTTTCCTTCTGTCTTATTACTGCTACTGGTACAATTGATGACATTATTTTTTTATTTTAATATTTGTGTATATTTATGTACACAGGCTTAAATGTATATAAATATTATGTTCTCTAAAAAAATTCTTAACATCATTTACTAATAGTAATTAAGTCAAACACTAAGTATGTTTCTGTATATAAAAGGCAGTACTACATTCTCGTAATTTGTATTTTTTAATCAAACAGAACTTAAGATACTTATGAAACTCTCGTTATGTGATGTTGTTGAAATCCAACATACTTTATACGATATAACATATAAGAATTCGGCCAAGAAATTTAAATAAGTGACATAGTTGAGTCGGTGAACAGCTAACCACTGGCGTTTGATGTCACATGTTCAAATCCCAACTGCGGTGAAGTATTTTATTTGCTTATTTCAAATTAAAAAGCTAAATTTGAAAAATACAAGTAAAAAATTTACTTAACTTCTTAGTTCACTTTGATATTTACTTATATGCAGCTATGTGCATATAAACATTACAAAAGTAATAGCAACACATTACGTACTCGTAATGGCAGTAATAAGTTGTACTTAATCCTAAAAATTGTTAAGATTTATACTAACATACCCGTATTATAATAATGAAGATAGAGATGATGAAAACCAAATGAGCACAGTGGCACAACTTTTCTCGATTTTGCTTTGGGGATTAAATTTATTACTTGTAATTATTAAAATTACATTTGAAAAACTACACAATAATTTCTAAGCGAAATTTTGATACTTAAATTCCTGTTCGTACATAAATACTCACAAGCATTATACAAACTTATATGTTAATAGATAACGAAGGAATAAAATTCTCAACATAATTTAATATGTCAGTCATTTGTGTGGTTTATACTATTTCTGTAATTTTGAATGAATTAAATTAAAACAAAACTAATAAATTTATTTCTTAACGCACTTGATATTTACTGATGTTTATACTTCTGCAGACATGCATACATGCAAAACAATAACAACATTAGCAGTAGTAGAACTAAGAGTAAAACATAGCATTAAACATAAGTATGACCTGCAAAGGAAACGGCGAGGTTAGAAGAAAAATAAAAGGATTGCTTAAGTTTTGTTAAATAAAAAATATTAAATGAAGAAAATCATTCATTTTCAATATTAGAAAAATATTATATATTAATTTCTATTTTTAAATAATTTCTTTGTTTTTAAATATCTGATGTAATTAAGTGAACTATATGACTAGTGACTCAGCAAAACTTGCAAATGTATTAGATAACTTAATATTCCAGAGCCAGTCTGATATTTAGTTAACTTTTTAAGCTTAATTTTGCAAGTGAACAAACACAATACTACATATGGTTAATGAGTAATATTTTATTATCGAAACATAAACAAGTAATGACATTATTTATTCGAAACCACAAATCATAATTCGTCTTACATAAAAATACTACTAAACTATATAATTTAGTACTATAAAATTCATGTATTAAACCTTTGTACTTGCTTTTTGTACTATAAAGTTAAGATATTGTAATTTAAATAATGCATTGTGCCTTTACTACTACTTTCCTACTTGTCCACTACTTGTCTACTACTTGTATGGCATAGGGCCCGAATAATTTTTCTAAATATGATTCTATTTGGTGCTTTTCGACCGTTCTTCTCTATGTTTTCATCGGGTCACCAGGTCTTCTACTAGCTTGTCGATTTCATGCCAAAACTTGCTTCGCTATATAAATTTTTTTCACTATGTGTATCTTGAATTGTGCAGAACTACTGTGCTCCAAAACAAAAAAGCACAACACCAAGTTTCTATATTTTTATTTTTTAAAAACCAAACTTATATACAAAATTCACTTTCTTCCATGTCATAAATAAATAATAAGTTAAAGTAGTGAAATAAGTTAAAGTAGGTTTTCGAAAAGTAGTGAACTACAACAACAAAAATTGATTTAGTATTTATTTAATTGAATTTTTGGCTGAGTATTGTTTCGAGTATTGTTAAATACTCATTATCAGTGGTCTTGGAAATAATTATTTTATTTAATTATTCGTATATAATTTTTTGAGACTGCAAGAACCAGAAATCGAACTGGTGTCCTGCCAAATTTGAAGCTCAGAGTCAGCACACCTTAATCAACTGACCCAAAGCCATACTTGACTTTTATGTTCGCACATTTTTCTGGAATTTTCTTTATTTGCTGTGAAAGTTTTATTAACAAATTCACTTGCTGCGTTTATATTAGAACGAAATCATAAACCAGGTGTGGAATTTGAATTTGAATTGAATTAATTAATTATATATTTTATTTTTTTTATTATTAAATTTCAATACTATTCTGTTTGTAGAGATATTATTTGTTGCATGCTTTTACATTATTCTTTCTTATATATAGAACCTAATCTAGGAACGCAATACTGAGAAAGTCATAATAAATTTACTTATCAACGTACTTGATATTTACTTGAATTCATATTTGTACATACACTCACTCATACTTTAACAATGCTATGAATGAAAGCAGCAAAAGCAACAACAATTTAAAAGTGGAACATATTGTACAGGTTGTGAAAGAAAAACCAGAAAAAAGAAAAAATTTCATATTATTTTTTATTTATTCACCTAATAATTTTAATCCTTTTTATTTATTATAATTTGTCTAATTAATAGATAAAAGGCCTAAATGAGAAAATTTTTTTATAAGCAATTTTTAAATTGTGAAAATATTTCACTTTATAATTCAAATGTATGAATAAAAATAAATAATAAAAATAAATTATAAAAATAAATTGTAGAATGATAATAATAATAAAAACTAATTTAAAAAAAAATTAGAAATTAATAATTCGTTTTAATATACTTATTCGTATGCTAAAACCTATTTGCATAAATATATAATCTACATAAACGATATACATAAACTTTTACATGGTATTTTTTTTTTTGAAAGATTTAAATGAAACTATAATAATGCAGTAATGAACATAACGTAAGATAAATAAAAGTTTAACCATTTATTGGTGCAAGTATTGACCAACTAAACTAGTTCAACGATTCCAACATTAACAAAGAAATAACTTCATCAATGCAACTTTACAAACTACACGAGTATCTGAATTATTTGAAATTATTTGAAAATAAAAAAGTAGGCCACATTTTTCGCTCCGAACATTATATCGATATCAAGTGTGTGAATTTAAGTACTTACTATGTGGAATAAGTTATGAATGGCTATTATGAATTATAGTATTAACTATAATTTTATGAACTCTAGTATCTAACTTAGTATCTTTCAAGTACTTTAATCAAAAAGTAAACAAATTAAGTCTTTGTTTATTAAATATCAATATTATAACTATTTGCAAGCTTAATTAAATTACCAGATAATTGTTTGCAATTGAAATTTATCGATTTATTACAATTATAGTTTGGTTTTTATCACAAATCAAATTTTTATAGTAAATAATTTATTTATGTGACTTTAAGGATTTTTCAAATTATTATTTATAGCTATATATGTATTGAATTTGAATTTATAAATTGATAATAATAGTACAATTACCTAATAAATAAAAAAAAACATTATATGCTATTATTAAAAGTTTCTACAAATATTTATGCAATTGTTTTCTGCAATATGCGAAAATTTAATTAAACAACTTTCTGCATTAGGTACATTTAATAATTAAACATTACTGACTACTTTATTAAAATAAAAATTTAAACACCGGCTGTTACCAGTTTTATTTACCTTGGTCTGCAAATGCGGTTTAGACTGGTAGTGAATATTTTTTATTCAGTTTTTTTTTTAAGTTAAATAATTAATTAGAGTCATAAGAGCTATTTACTACGGTAGTGGGAAGTTTGCAATTGTGGTTTTGCTAAAATGAATTAAATGTTAAAAAATATAAAGCAAATTCATAAAAAAGTTTTCTTTTTCCATAATTTTATATATAACTGTTAAGTACATAGCGCTTTAATGCCATAGAAACATATAATAAAAGGACAACTTTTAGAATACAGTTTTTAATATAGATTTAAAATTATAAATATAACAAAAAGAAGATAAACTTTAAATTTTTTTATCCTTTTATACAATTCACACAGATAGTAAAGAATTATAGCTAAATTTGTATTAGCGTTATAATATATTTCGATAATCAAGCAACTATAAAATCTGTTTAACATTAGATCATAAAATCCATGTTGGTTAGTTGCTGTAAAAATTTTATTTTTAAATCGGTTATTACGAATAAAATAAAACTTAACTTTATATCATAAGACTATGAGATATTAACAGTAACAAAACAGCGGGGTATGGGGTATTATGTGTATATCATATTGTCAAGTATAAGATCTATTACTTAATTTGCGCTCCACACAATAGGCCACTGTTAAGACCCATGCCTCTTTGTGAGATGCACACTTGTCAGACAAAATCAGCTTACATTCTAGAAATATAGAATATAGGCTGTATAAGATGCAAGCCAGCTCTACAGGTCAGAGGCAGTACAAAAAACTCATTCGTGTCAACAATAAAAATGACAACTATGTTTGTATATATACATATATATAGATTTTTTGCTGATAATTAGTTGACAAGTAATTTATGACCTAACATTGTTCACTAAACCTTACTGAACAGAAATGTCAACACAGTTTGCCATCCTTAGCTGTCAAATCATAGTTATCGATATCGATAGTTTTCATGCAAATATGTACATATTACAAAATACATATTAAGTAAGAAATGTTCTTCAGTCGCTACACTATACTATAAGACCATAAGGTCATATTTAAAGTATAGATAAAAATATGCTTTATTAGTTATCGATTTTTATTGAAAAATGACACTGGAAGCAGAATCTCAATCAATCTGATCTGTTAGTTCATGTATAGATGAAAATACTCCAAACGGTTTTTGATTTCAGTAAGGTGCTGCGATAAGGTAAGACGTATTGTTAGCAATATCAACGGGTTATTAATGACACTCAATATAGCGATGTGTTATTGGTGGCAGGGAAGTTCAAATTGTTCTTTCTTATTGGAATATTGTCTTAAGCATGTTAAAACAGTTGTCTTATTTGTTGGATATTTACTTGAGTATAAAACAATTAAAATTTTTTAGCAAAAGTAATAAATTAAAAATTTCCAAAAGTAATATTTTTATTTATTCAGGTGTTTAGTTTTATATACATAAGCATATTGAATATTTTTAATGGTTTAAAACAACCTGAATAATAATTTTTCTATACTTTTGGATTCAGTTGAAATTTATGTGGTAAAATTTTTTAAAACAATATCTCACTTTGTTGAATTTATTGGAAATGCGATACAAATTTTTTCTCGTATAAATTTTATATTCGATAAATTGACTATTTGAATTTATTTTATTTACATTGATAAGTAATTGAAGAAACGTTTCGGATTTATGTAATTCAGTTAATTAAACAAATAATGCCAAGCATTTCACTATTTTATTAAAATAATAAATAAGACATTTTATTTGTTGATCGACTGAAGAAGCACCGCTATCAACTCTATCAATAAACTATTCACTTCCAACTATAGTAGGTGTGCAGAGTTACAGTGCCAAAAATATAGTACCACATATAGTATTCTTTAGATTTAATAGCAATATATATAGTATATATAGTACTTAAACACTAATAATTGCAGTTTATGTAAAATGCCCTATTTTTTTTTTTTTGAATATAAATTTGTGAAAAATTTTAGATAGGCAAAGTAATAAAAGTAGTAATGTGGAAAAAGTATGGGAGCACACTATTCAAAATTTAAAGAATTTTCGTTTGGTATCCATTATTTTTATAGACACAGGAGCGACTAAGTCCTAGTCAATAATGATTAATAAATACATGATAGTAGTAAGCAATAACGCTAATTAATTATGTAGTAGAAAATATAATAAATATAATTAATATTAAAAAAATAATTTACCAAAAATCAATAATAACATATTTAATGCTTATGTTATTAATATAAAATAAATAAAATTAAAAAATAAAATAAAAATTTAAATATAAAAGTAAATATATATATACATTTCTATCACAATAGCAATTGATGAAAAAAAAAATAATATATTAAAATTAAACAAATTAAAACAAATAAAAAAAATTAAATAATACGTTGAATAATAACGATAAAAATATTAAAAATAAAAGAAAAGAAAACAAAAAATATTTAATAAAGTACTATAGGAATTTTAATATTATAAAAACTATAATACTTAATAATAATAAAAAATCATTATAAATTAGTTAGTTTAATAAAATAAAAAAATAATAACGATAATAACGATAAAAATATTAAAAAATATTAAAAGTAAACAAAAAAAATGTAATAAAGTACTATAAGAATTTTAATATTATAAAAATAAATTGTTATAAAACCACAAAATATTTAAATATTCTAAAATCTGATGATGACTACATGGCTTTGTAAGAAAGGTTTAAACAGTGATCAAGTATGTGGGCACTTTTTACATAATAGTGCTAATAAATACTAGTATTAATAGTTAATACCATCTTTAAATAAATAAATCTTAAGGGTTTTCGCAATTAAAGAATTATACATAGAAAATCATATTTTATTATATTTATCTTGTATTGCAATAACATTAGATTAGTTTAGATTTTAAGATGGGTTGGAAACTTGTCATCACATCACTGCATCCTTTGAGGATTATTGTGACATACCCACTTCAGTTCCATAGACAAGTAGCAGTTAAGAACGCCAATATATCGTTTGGAGAAATGCAATAACATACTGCAATACATACTTTTTAATTATATACCGCAAATAATTAATCAAACAATGTAATAACTAATTTATAAAGGTATCCTATTTATCATGTTTACATTTAATTAACTCAAACTAAATACAAAATTGATTTCAATCTTCTTCAAACTATTGTATATACATTTTTAACTCGTTCTGATTTATTATAACATGATCTGCTCATCTATACGTGAAAGCAAAACTATGTATGTAGATTTTGTTTGTTAATAAATAATTACGGTATGAATACTGTTAACAATAGATTTATTAAATAATGAGAGTGTATAGCATATTATTAAAAAATATTTTAAAATTAGCTGGTATTATACCTTTAAATAAATTATTTCATATACCGATATAATGAAACTCTAGTACGATACAATGAGTTCGGAGCAATTTTCAACTCGAACGAGTTTTCAATTAACAAATTAAAATATAAAAATCAAGAAAAAACGAGCATAAAATTCAATTTAATCCACATGAAGCAGCTGATAACATTTTAAAATAATAAAAATAATTGCCTTCAAAAATTTTATATATCAAAAATGTTTTAACAAAAATTGTGCACAGTGCAGATGCGGGTGCGACAGATGCAATCCCCACTTAAATTCAGAGCAAAAAAAAAAGATATATAATATAAAAGTTACTTCAGCTTAAAGTTTGAAGCGTTGCGTTGCGTCACAGAAGCATGTGAAGACTAAAACACTGAAAAACTGAACACTGAACGCTGAAAAGTGAAGCTGAAGTGGTTACATTGCAATTTTTTTTATTTTGTATGGCAGCTTGTTGAAGTGTTTGATTGTTGAAACTGATGCCTCAATGTGCGGGCTATTTACATTATGCAATGTGATGTATTCAGATTGGATTTATATAAAACCGTTTTTAGTAAGAATGACGTCGATTTCGAATAGCATGAATAAAGACCACGAAAATATGTACAGAAATGCATGCGGTATTCCAAAAATTCATAAAAGTTAATGTTGTCAATGACAAAACTGAAAAGAGAAAAAAAACTATCTATTGGCTCGGAATCAGTTATAGCTGTATACTAACAGCGATTTATTCTTTATGATCTTCAAAAGTTCTATAGAGTTCTTACAAGTATTGCTTTGTAGAGTAATTATTATTTCAGCTGCACTACTTTTCTTATTAAACAATAATCCAAAAGTGTTTTTGATTGTATTCATCATGTTATTGTGTTTTTTTCGTAATCCTATTGCACTAGTTTTCGTATAATTATGTATAGCATGTTTAACTTCTGACAAAATATAGCTCTATTCACAATACCTACTATATTCATAATCACTATGTTATGTAATTGTGACTGCACATCGGCGCGTGATGAACTTTAATGTTAATGGCAATAGATGGCATCGCAATAATTACCAATTTTTTAAAAGCCATATTTACTTTACTTAAAACCAAACCTTATATATTCGCTTTAAATAAAGCAAGCTAGTGTTGCTAGCGAGTCTTTCACTTGTCATGAAGCCCTATAGTTTTTTTTTAACGATCAACTTAAAAGTGCTCTTATCCAACTTTCCATCAACGTGGCAGCTTTTCATAAACCTTATCATTATTATTATATTAAAGCAAATTGAGTTGGGGACCTCAAGATTAATCTGATAAAATAATACATAAAGGATAGAGCTCTGAAACTATTTACGAAAACTGACTAGCTTGCCAATACAGCGTTATCGAATCTCAAAATGGTCTCAGGCTCCTCGGGGAGGTATACAGATTAGAGGAGAATTATTGCTTACTCTGATAATAATGCATAAACCTTAGTTGCCTACACATTGCAATATAACATATGTCTAACATTTGCTTTAAAATATTTGTAATTATAAAATAGTTAGGAAATGTAGATATATATATGAAACTTCCCAGTTCCAAATAGAAGTCAAAAATAAGGGCTTTGTAAACTCTTACCTTTTCATTGTCTTGACGGACACTATAACAATGTAAGTAAATTATACAATAGCCAAAACTATAAAGGATTTGGAATCAACAACCACGGTACTGTCAAGCTTCTATAGATGTAGATAATGTAGTTAGTACCTGAATCGAATAGTGAAGCAAGTTCCATAAACAATTCCAAAACCGACTAAAGAATCACTGATTCCGAAAAAATAAACATAATGCATATTACTAAATTTGAATATTAGACCAATTTATTGACGAGTCTTATTAGGAGGGTGCGAGTAGTACAAGTAAAGACAAACAAATATCTGAACACCACTATAGATGAAGGAAATATATAATTAGATATGTCATCGAATCACAAAAGCAACGATAGCATACTGATCCTTGACAGTAACAACACAATCGGCACACCAAATCTACTGTTCACATAAAGTGCTTAAATAGAGTGTGGAAATAAAGTGCTTTAAAAGAGATGTAGGAAAAACTAGAAAAGAATAAAGAGAAAGAAACGAAAAGAAAATAAAAAGAAAGAATGAAAAAAAAAATGATCGTAGAAGAAACTTAGCCTAATACCTTAACCTAATACATAAGTAGAAAGTTTTATAGACAACAGGAGAATATCTGTTGCGAGCTCTAGGTTTTAATTAAACATCTTTTCATCTAATGTAATTATTATTTATTTATTATAATTTATAATTATTAAAATTTATTGATGTTTATATAAACTTATTATATCTATCTAACATAAAAACTTGAGCTTACTAGCCATACTTTCAAGCATGGCATGGTAAAGTGGAAGTCAAGTATATAGTTAGTTTCTCTATCAACATCACAAACGCTTCAAAGTTTATTTGACTTTTTCTCAGTAAAAATTATTGAAGAGATTATTTTATTTACTATTAGATCTGTCAGTTTACATTACACGTTTAAAGACAGGCTTGAATTGCTACAAATCTGAGTCATCAGTTAAAGAAAACTAAGGCGTTCAATTAATATACTCTTTGTCTGTCTGTCTGTCTGTCTGTCTTTTGTTCAAAAAACGAAAGTCACATCTTCTTAAATGCAAATGAGTGTGGAACATGAATGAATCACGAACGTTTTGGTCTAAATCAACACAAAAAACCATTAAGAAATGCTCAACTTAAACCGGCTAATATGATAACTGGTGATTGCGGGCCACTGAGCCATGTTAATTATGGCGGCACGTAGAATGAGTTTAAG